AGAATACCATCAACAGCAAAGCCTATACTGCTGTCAATTTTCCATATGAAGACAATATATGTTATCTTTGTGGAGAGAATCATCCATTTTGAAATAAACCAAAACTTGATATGTGCAAAGGAGGGAATACAAAAGAAAGGAAAGCCACATGCAGCATATGTACAAAACTCTCTTTAAAAAATATTTTAGCTTCATATACATGTAAGTCTACCTGCAGTTTCCAAATTTTAAACATATAAAACATTTTGCTTAGTAGAAAAAAAACTAAATAGAATTCAAATAAGAGGTGAAATCGAAAGCTGTACAAACATTTCCACTAGGAAATGGGAACCTTAAAGGCCTCGTTGATCTGTTTATAGAAGCAATGCAGATCCGAGTGTTTGTAGGCTGTGTATGATGAAGGGGTGCACTCCTTGAACCCCCTCTCTTAAACATTACATCTCGCTATTTCTGCTGCCAAAAGGAATATCTGCATCTTTCCAGAAAAAAATCAGCATCAACTTTGTTACCAATGTAAAAAAAAAAAAAAAAAAAAAAAACTAAAAAAAAAAAAAAAAAAAAGACTATATACAGTATTTAATTTAAAATATTCTTCACAAAGATTGACCTTTAAAGACCAGCACTTGTATGATACATGTTCTTGTTCTCCAGCAGAACACTCCTTATCTGGATGTCCACTTGTGGCGCGTTACAGTACATAGGTCTGCATCTTCGTCTTAGGGGGGAAAAAAATATATATATATGTATGTATATATATGTTTGCTCAACAATGGCATTTAAGCCATTTCTTTATTAGTCTGCAGCCTGGTCATTACTTCCAATTTTTGTCTGTAAGCTTCTGCCTCCTGCTCTTTTTTAATAAGCTGATGACGATATTTCTGAGCTTCTCGGTTGGCCTCATCAAGTTGTTTCTGAAGAGATTCTCTTTCCTGCAACGAAATTGAAGAGCATGGTTTTACAACGATGCATCAAATCCCCATCCCATACTTTCTCAACTACTGCTAAAACATTGGTAAAGTGGACCTGTCAACAGTGCATAGAACCTGAATGGGATTTTTCATTTTAAGGAAAACGAAAACTGAATAATGAACCTAAGAAGAATTATATTATATTAAAATTCCCTATGAATCTATGCCCTCTACAATATTTTTTTACATAGCAACAGTAAAAAATGGAAGCTGTTGCACCACTGTGATAAACATCTTAGACTACTACATTAGGTCACAAAGGAAACAGATCCACTTTCCAAGAATAATAGGCAACAAATAGACAGCACAAAGGGTTTTCTGCTAACTGGGAATAAAAATAACAAAAGAATAAAACAGGAAAATAAATAAATACACAAAATTCTAGGAAATGCAATCAGTGTTTACTGGAAGTATCTGCATGTCCCTCATGTCTCATTGTGTACAGAATGCACTGATCTAGTAATATATAAGCCAAATTGAAGTATCTGAATACAGCTGTCAAGTATACATCTTGAAAGGATGTTGTAGAGGTCTCTCTTTAATAATCTGCAGCTGTTCTACGGGGCACAAAACTACACACTAACTGCAGCACACAAGGCAACCATCTCCTAACCACAACATCCAATAACCTGTGAATGAAAAGCCACTGCTAAAACACCAGCCAATGATAGGTACTGGTCTGTGTGTTGTCATCTGACCATACATACAAACTAGGGATGCACAGATACAGATACTAGTACCGGTATCGAAACCGAGTATCTGGGCAAATACTCATACTCGCCCAAATATTTTCGATACCTATCCCGATACTGGAACTTCCGGTATCAGGAAGCCGGGCATCAAGTCATTACACGCCACCCGGCTTCCTGATTGGCCGGGAAGCCGGCTCTATGCTCCCTTATCACTTGGTGATGAGAGCATGGAGCCGGGTTCCCGTCCAATCAGGAAGCTGGGCGGCAAGTCATTACCGGCCCCACGGCTTCCTGATTGATCAGAAAGCCGGCTCCATGCTTCCTTGTCACCTGGTGACGAGGAAGCATGGAGACGGCTTCCCAGCTAATTCGGGAAGCCGGGTGGCGAGTCATTACACGCCGCCCGACTTTCTTAATGGGGCCTCCAGTATCGGTATGTACCAAAAAAAAAAAAATATCAGCACTCATACCGAAAAACTGGTATCGGTGCATTCCTAATACAAACAAGTGGCAAGAGATCCCTCTGATCACATGAGAAGTCAGTGAGATCTTTATTAACATGTAAGAAAATATAATGGACATGTTTACCAAACATAGCCCTATCATTGTTATAGCAAGTTAGAACTTTCAAAAGGAAAGAGTTTGCAGCCTAAATTTTGTAACAGCAGATACATCCTGCAAGAATAGAAATAAAGAAAAACTTGGGTGTCTGTTAACACATCAATTCCAATTTAAGAAAAACAAAAAGTGAAAATAATAATAACAACCACACAATTGTCATGCATGAAAAAAACACCAGGCACTAGAAAAAAAATGTTTCACCACTAGGAAACTTACAAAGAAAAACAAAATCCCACACACACATCTCTAACAAAACAACAGAATCAATCAATTATTTAGATTCTCTCAGAAGCCTACAATAAAGTCTCAAGGATATAGGGCAATACCTGAGAGAACTCTTGAGCATTCACAATATAGATTTCTGAACCAGAAGTTTCTGGAATCTAGCAGATCAAAGAGAAGTTAAAACAAAGAAAGCAGTGTTTTAAAAGAGCCTACATAGGAAAAGGCAGATCGCCAGCATGATTGTAATATAAAAATATAGGAAAAGCATGTTTGGTAGAATGTTCATTTTTTTACGACAGTATTTATGGCAGAATATTTGACACAAACATATGGGACTTGCATACAAGGCAAATGTCATCTAAGGTGACTGTGTTGAAGATTAATACCTGTTATTTTGGGCAAATGCCAACACTAATCTGAATTGTGCCAAATAACCCAAAAAGGTTTAAAGACTATGCAGAGGTCACCTCATAAATACACACCTCAAAAAACAAAACCCTGTGTTAAATAGCACTAAAGTTTCAGTACAACCCTTTCATGCACTAATGCAAAAGCCTTTATGAGCTCACCGCATTTTGTGATTTTGACATTTTTTTCACCCAGACAAATCTATAAATTAACTCTTCATGGCCTAAAACATCACTAGGTTATCAACCGTGCTTTACCTACACGTGTTAGGTGTTCAAATCCATCACCCTGTTTGCTCCGTTAGGTCCTGGGCTGTACGTGGGCTCACAACTCCCATCACTGACTTTAAGCCCAGTCTATTCAATTCTTAAATGCCTCAACCTCTACTGCTCACTGAAATTCTGCCATTTGGCAACGAAATTATAGACTATAGACCGTGAGAATCAGTGACAGAATGGACTGGAAATTAAAGGGATAATAAAGTTAAAAGGTTTGTAAGCTGTTTCAAATGCTGATTAACTCACTTAAAATGGACTTTGCTTCTTGATGCTGCAACCTATGAGCTTGCATAATGTGTTGACATCCCTTTTGAAAGGTGGCTCCTTTTCCTATGGAGGCACCCTTGTGTGTGCTTGTAAACTGTATGCGTCTCCACAAATGCACAGGCACAGCAAAGTAAGTGCGCCCTCTGCTCCCATCTCCTCCCTCTTTCCTTCTGTAAGCTAGTAGATGGAAAGCTACCGAAGACTGCTCTGTCTTGTGATCTTGCAATTCAACAGGAATTGCAGGCAAGTGGAGCTGAGAGAGTTGCAGCCAGCGGTTTAAAAACATGACATCTATAAGGCCCCATTCACACTGCGTGATTCGCAAATCGCGCGTTTGTCGCGTGATTTGCATTTTGCGCGATGTCGCACGATATCGTGCAAATGCTTGCTTTGAATCGTGGCAAAATCCGCTCCAAAAAGGGTCCTGCTGTAGCGTCGCACGACCCGCGACAGCAGGACCCTTTTCCCCAATCGTCAAGCATTAGAGAGCGATATCGCGCGGTAAATAGCCACGATATCGCGGGAATTACCGCGCGATAAATTGCTCAGTGTGAACGGGCCTAAGTGTTTGGGCAAAAATGTAAAGAAATATGATTGATGGGCAATGTATGTTTCACTATTGAAAAAAAGTTTGTGTTTAATACTACTTTAAATCTCAGTTAGGGGAAAGGTCAACACTCATACAGCATAAGTTTCAATGGGACTCCAAAGGAAATGATTTGAAAACGAACATGGATATTAAAAAGGCACCACAAGGTGTCCGCACATCAGCACTGCTACTACCTTGGAGACATTTAAGATTAACTACTAGGATAAGAGTTCTACCAAACCAGAACAACTCTATAAAGCTTCAGGTTTAAGGTATAAAACATATCACCCCCTCCACCAACCAAGAGAAAAGCCTGTATACAAGGTCTTTTAAGTGTAAAATATGACCACCCTAAAATGCACATGATCCTGAGTGCAAAAAGGGGTTGTCGCAGAAGATTGATGAGAAAGAGCTCATCCAGTAATCATAAAAGATTAAGGAAATTGAACTACTCTTCTCCATCTACACCTCCTCCCTTGGTCAACTAATAACCTCACATGGCTTCCAATACCATCTCTATGCAGATGACACTCAAATTTATCTTTCCACTCCACAACTGCCCCCCTCAGTGTCCTTGCGTGTCACTAATCTACTAAATGACATCTCGGTCTGGATGTCACAACATTTCTTAAAACTCAACCTTTCAAAAACGGAGCTCATGATATTTCCTCCCGCCTGTGCACCTTCCCCCAACATTTCAGTCGTGATTGATAAACACAACTATCCAACCCTCCCCTTATGCCAAGGTCCTAGGTGTCATCCTTGACTCGGACCTCACCTTTCTTCCCCACATCCAATCGCTATCCAAATCCTGCCGCCTTCACCTTTGTAACATCTCCAGAATACGCCCCTTCCTCACCAATGACACCACAAAACTACTCATACACTCCCTTGTTATCTCTCGTCTTGACTATTGTAACTCCCTCCTCATTGGCCTTCCACTACACAGGATATCCCCCCTTCAGTCTATCATGAATGCAGCTGCCAGACTCATTCACCTTACCAACCGCTCAGTGTCTGCATCCCCCCTCTGTCAATCCCTGCACTGGCTTCCACTCGCCCAGAGGATAAAATTCAAAATATTAACAGTCACCTATAAAGCCATCCACAACTCCGTCCCCGGATATATCTCAGACCTTGTCTCAAAGTATCACCCTAACCGTCCACTCCGCTCATCCATTGACATCCTGCTTTCCAGCTCCCTTGTCCACTCCTCCCATACTCGCCTCCAGGACTTCTCTAGAGTCTCTCCCATCCTCTGGAACTCTTTACCCCAACCTGTCCGTCTATCTCCCACCTTGACTGCCTTTAGGCGTTCCCTAAAGACTCATCTCTTCAGGGAAGCCTATCCCACCGCAACCTAACCACTGAACCTTCACATTCTCACATAATTCATTCCCACAGCTACCTCATGTATCATTTCCCCTCCTCTTTTAGATTGTAAGCCCTCAGGGGCAGGGCCCTCCTTACCCTCTTGTCTTGAATTGTATTGTAACTGTTATGTCTTCCTTATATTGTAAAGCGCTGCGCAAACTGTTGGCGCTATATAAATACTATGTAGTAATAATAATAATAATAAATAATAACTACTAATTATGCATCTGAGAAAGAAAAAATGTATGAAAATATGGAGTTGAAGTGAAAATCCTCTTCTATCCCTTACAGAGCTTTGTCATGCCCAAGTTTTAATGCGACGTGCTTGTGTTGCAACCCTTATAATCAGTTGTCCTCTATGTGAAGAACTGTATTTTAGCCTACTAAGCACTGCAAAAGGACATTTGTTGGGACAAGTGAAGAGACAAAATCTATATGACAAGCCAGTAAAGCAGAGTTTGTATACCAATTAAAAAGTGCTTTTAAAGTGGACCTAAACTCAAAAAGTGAAGGTGTAATACAGCTAGATATGTTATACGGAACATTTAAAAAGGAGAACTATGACATGAGTGATTTCCACTCACCTCATAGTTCTAAGCCGACCTGTGACAATGAGACTGTCACAGGTCGGCTCAGTAGATCGGGAGGTGAGAGAACACATACCGGGTTCCCTCACCTCTCGATCCTGTCACGGCTCTCTGCCGTGACAGGGGAGGGGCTGGATTCCCCTCTCCCCGCTCCGATCTGCCAGCGCTGACTGGCGGAACGGACGGGGGAGGGGGCGGGTACAGCTGGCTCTGCCTCTAGATAGGCAGAGCCAACTGTCACTCACGCAGCTGGGCGGATCCCGTCATCTAAGTCGGGATCCGCTCCAGGTGCGGCGTCTCAGTATACCGCGAGCTGTAGCTCGCGGTATACTGAGCTTAGGGTAAGAACTATGGGGAAAAACACTGACCCCATAGTTCTCCTTTAAAAATGTTAATTGTGCCTGAACAATACCCTGAAAAATGTACCTTTTGAATTTGTTCTGAATAGCAGTTCCCTTCCTAGCATGCGAGTGTGCCTTGAACGTCCTGTGCCAACGTAGTCTGAAAGTCGTATATCTGCAGTGTGAGATCTAACGCAATGCTGCCTCTGTTAAGGTAGCCATACACTGCCAATTTTGGCCTGTTCTTGATGAACCAGCCGAAATTCGCACAGTGGGTGCTGCTGCTGGCACCCTTTCGGCCAGTGACCCTAGATCAGTTGTTCAAAAGAGGCGGTCAGAAAAACTTTGTACAAACAGAGCGGGCAGCCAATGACCTGACGGCTCTTTTTGGGTATTCTGACAGTGGCCGGCGGCTGCTGTCAGAATACAATGAAGACAGCGGGAGTTTCCTTGATCGATGCTCCTAAGCGTTGATAGAGGAATCTGTTCTATTTTTTATTGTTCAGCCAGTGGGTTGAACAAAAAAAAATAGAACAGTGTATGGCCAGCCTTAGTCGTAGGACATTTTATGAGATTTGGTGCTATCACTGTTCTCCCTGCTGGAGGCTCAGACATGAGGAAGCATAACCCTCCCTCTACCAACTGGATGCATCCATACATAAACACACAGCAGAAGAAGGCATGGTAAATCAGTAATACCTAAAAATTAGGTCAATTCCTCACCTCAGTGTTGACATTATTCACATATTCTACTAAAACCAAAACCCACACTTTTTCATAGTCCCTTATGAGTTACTGTCCTTTCCTTCTGTTGATGGAAGCAACAGTCCATTACTTTTCTCCACATTCTATGGGGTAGGACTTCAAGTCTGCAGGACTCTAGCACATGAATGAAATGTTGCCCAACGCGGTCTAATCCACATTTAAACGCATGGTGTGAAGTCTACCTTTGCTACAGTAGCTATCTGCACAAACAGGACATGTACAGTGATGCGGACATGAATAAGGACATTTATATAAGAAGTGTTTGAATCAGAAGGTTCAGTGCTTTCATGAGGCTGCAAATGTTTAAAAAATATATAGTTTACAAGGTATTATTTCCACTAAAAAGCCTCATTTGCAGAGAATGTATATGACTGCGTAATTTTAAGATGTCGTACAATATGTAAAGAAGGCCTGTACAAAGAGCAATAACTGACCACCTTCTGAAAATTGAAGTTGTCTGCCTCTGCTTGCCATGATGACCCAATGGCTTCAATAATTCAGGTCACTGACCCAGAACACCTAGGCAGATCAAATGACCCAAGGTATTAAAGTCAGAGGCAGCCAAACATCAGGAAATTTTAAAAGCAGGCAAACGATAGTAGCCTACACATGCCAGTCAATATAGGTTTCCTTCAATGCTACATAGTGAGAAGTGAGGGGGAAAGATAAAACAAACTTTTAGACTTACAACAGAAACATGAATCCATCTAATGGCATAGGTGAACAAGTCTCAGTAGTAATCCTCAACATCAACTATGGCTTTGTCCACAGGGATGAAAGCACAATAAGAATTGTGTCAAAATCACATTAAGTTGCATTATGAACAAGTAGAGGACACAAACACAAATAAAAGACTGCCAACACAGATGAGGACAGACAGGAGATGAGATGTGATATGCGTCATTCTAATTTACATTGGCAAGGCCCTTCACATGGACGCCTGTCAGATCCGATCAGCAGGCAATTCATGCACGGATCTCTCCTGTCAATCGGAGCAGTACAGAACAGATGTCACCGTCCAAGGTGAACTTACTGGACCCATCATAGGGCTATGGGGAGTCGGATGTGTCTGTTTAAGTCAGATAACGTCCAATCCATGATGATCAGGACTGCCAAAACAGAGCAGTGTTTGGTTTTCTCGTCCTAGAATGAGTTGGTGCTAATTAAATGTAAACTGAAGCACGTCCATTTCGATCCGACCACCCATAGACTAACATTGAGTTTCCGATCAGGGGGAGTAGGGATTTATTGCAGAAGAGACATGCAAAATCTTTCATTTCCCCCCCCCCCACCCCCCCAGAAAAAAAAATTCTAGCCCGTGATGGACTTCAATCTCATGTTTAGTTTACGAATTTGTATTGAGATTGTAGTCCATCACAGGAGGGAGCTTGGAGTGATGGCTACTTTACAACACACGGGGACCATGGAGAACAAAAGTAGCCACCCTCCAGAAGGAAGGACAGTGTCAGCACCAATCCAGAGATGATTTGAGGATCTACTGCCAAGTGATACACAAATAAGATACATTATTGTTAATAGTTCAGGTACTTGAATGTATTTTTAAGATTTACCTCCTGAGTTTAGTGTCACTAAGTCCTGCTGAGCAATATTAAAGTGACATTAAAAAGGCAAGAATTGTTTCCCCTCCCCCCAATGTTAATGTTAGCACTTACCTTAAATGATGTCTCTTTTTCCGATCTTCCTCTTCTTTCCTGATGTTTTCAGCCTTCTCTCCAGCGGTGCGGCGGCTCTCCGATCCAGCGCTGACTGCTCTGTCCCTCCGATCCAGCGGTGTCTGCATGCGGGTGCACGCGTCCATAGACTTACCTTGCGTCCCCGATGAAAATTAGAACTGCGCATGCGCACGCCCCAAGATCCTTTGCGGCCGCTCGAGAAATTTCTTATTTTCAAACGGGACCACGCACGGAACACAGGGTAAGTTTAAAGTGCTGTTTGAGCGTTTTTTGTTTTAAAAAAAAAACTTTTTGCATATATCTACTGCTTACTAGCAGTAGATATATGCAAAAAAACGGGAGGGTTTAAATATCCTTTAAATACAAATGCATCAAGTATTTTCATACACTTTGATTGATGCAAGTATTATTTTTCTACCTTTATAACTTCAGGTTCTGTATGGAGGGATACTCCTAGGCTAATTGGGCTACCGTGGAGGTGCACTTGAAGATTCAAATCTATATTGTGGATTCTGGGTATCATCACTTTAAAGTAAACACCTATCAAGGAGTCTAGTATACAGAGAGACTCTTTAAATTTAATGAATCAATTATTTGAATACATTGACATTTTTGCTTTTGTTACTTTTTGTAGCAGCTTTTGGGCAAAAACAAAATTTTATTGCAGTATTACTTAAAACATACAGAGAGTTACTGTCATCTAGACAGGCCTCCTTTCAAATTATGACAAATGTTATGAAAACATTTTACACTCCATTAAGTATAAAAGTACATTTAGAGGACCTTGCTGCATGAATTACCTAAACTACATACAAAACAATTGACAGAATTGCCCCATTTACTCCCAGAGTGGCATGCAGAAACAAAACACCAGGAAGCGAGCGTTATAGGTTTCTTTATACTGCATTAAATTAGCAGCCACTATAGCAAGAAAATAAGAAGACTGTAAGACAAGTGCAACAGAACAATCCAATAAAAAATGGTGGAAGTACTGTAAAGTGACACCCAAAAGTGCTGTTAATTTGTAAGAACCGCACACCTTTGACAGCTGAAGGCACTTTCACATCATGCATATGGTAAAATCAGAGATGATGCAAATCAGAGATACTGTATATTCATAACGTATCTTCCTTCCACAGACTGTACAACAGAGAGGAACAAATTGTCAAGCATCAAAACCATTAAAATAACATAGAATGTACTAAACATGAGCATTCAGTTACATGAAAGCCCACAAAATCCTTTATATGGCCAGACTAGTTTGATGTATATATGCAGTAAACTGTACATGTTTCACTGTCCCTATTGTGGCAGCAAGCAGAGGAAAATGTCTGAGTCTAGCCAGGATGACAGTTGTATGCCCTAGATTCAGGTGTAATAATGAAGTTCTTCCTCTAGGGGGAAGTGCAGAGAGGGCTGGAGCTCGGAGGTAACAAGCCCAGCTGAAGCTAGCTGGCTTGTTGGGGCCTCTACAAGAAGTCCCAGCCTCCTAAGAGAAGGGCTCCACCCTAGAACCAGGCTGTGAGGCTGGTGGACTGGGGAGCAGCAGCCTGTGTGGCAATTCGCCTGTGTGCCAAATTCCCGTGTGGCAAAAGGACAAGCCTGTGCGGCAAGCCCATTGAATACAGCCTGTGTGGCCAGTGGATATTTTGTTTAATGACCTACCTGAAGTCGGTGAGACGGAAAAAAAAATTTTTTTATTAAGAAAACTACTATGTGTTTGGAAACCCCTGCGAGGGAACACTTGTATGGACGTTTCTTTCCATTTTGTGAGTAAATAAAAGTGGGCAAAGAAGCCCTAAAACAGTGAAAAGCGAGGGGCGATGTCCTTAGTGTGAATCCTCACACTATGGAAGTTTCTCTAATTTTTCATTTTGAAATAATCAACCCCTCCAGAAGAATGCTCATATAATGTAAATTTCCATGTTCAGTGTATGCCAGACAAGTTTACTTGAGGCATAGAAACAACTCCTCTACATTTGTTCTCTACAGATGTATAGAAGTTGTTTCTATGCCTCAAGTAAACCTGTCTGGCATACACTGAACATGGGAATTTACATTATATGAGCATTCTGGAGGGGTTGATTATTTCAAAATGAAAAATTAGAGAATCTTTCATAGGGACAGAAAACTGGAGTTTAGATTTTAACTGTGCTGTGCCAATCTTCCAAGGATATCCAATGCAATGTCTAATTGCTCCACATTATTTTGCATTAGGAACAATTTTCATACTATTTCACATTTTTCATCATATTGCTCGGTGAAAACTGATCAATGGGAAAATATAAATAGGAGAAAGTAAGTTTTCACACTGGTGCAGGATGTACCCTTATCTACAGCAGGTCCACTTTATTCAATTACCAGAAGTTCATGATTAACAACTGAGCACAAGAAAATTTTGATGGTGCTTTGCTAGGCACACGTATCAGACTGATAAAAATACCTCTATCTCTGCAGAGTCCATACGATTTTCAATGATTTCAATGCACTGTCTTTTAGTAGGAGGCTCTTCACTAATCACAGTTTCTTCTGCCATGTCAGTTGCTGGTACAGTCAACACTACAAAAAAAAGAATAATAAATGTTTGCGCAGACAAAATGCTATCCGTATTCCCACCTCCCTGCAATCAGCTTTACATTTGAAAACAAAAATGTCCTCTCGCTATTGCAAAAGGTATTCAGATGTATCTGGAGCCAAGACCGCTATGAATTTCAGATCATACAGGCAGACAAAACTAAAATCTAATGTGTTCCAGTTTCTAAAAGATTCTGTGTATAAAAAAACAGTATATGGCTAAACAATAATCTGCTCAGTTGGAAGCTGCACTCACCACATTTGTCACTGACAGGATAGGCATCTGATGTGCGGCTACAATTTGCTAATGTGTTTGCTCTTTGGATATTATAAAAAAAATGACATGGCTTTAAATAAAAACCAAACAGAAGCACTACTTATTGATTACTTACCCTGTTGGCCATCTGGCATTGTGACAATAATTGGCTGTGATAAACCAGAAGATGGAATGGCAGACTGAAGATTTCCAAGGTGAATGCCATCCGTCACTATTGTGATGACTTGCTGTCCACCAGAGCTAACAACTTGTTGAATAGCACCATCCACCGACTCAGCAGTTACCACTTCTTCTGTAGCCACCACTAAAAAGAAAAGCACATATATTTTACAATTACCACCTAGGAAAGTACCAACAATTGTTTTTCCTTTTCTCAGCTTTCTACTCTAAGGGCTTGTTCACACGACGTCCGGATTCTGTCCGGACCAGATCCGTGCGCTCATGCACCCAAAATGCATCCCAATGTATCCCTATGTGTTTTATGGGCTACAGTTCTCACGAGCGCAGTCCGTTCCGGTCCGGACAGAAAAAATACTGCATCACATTTTGTTCGGTCCGGAAATGCACGAACACGTCAAAAACGCACTGCATGCATAGCATCGCGTCTCCAGATCTGGACCAGAAAATCGTGTGAACAAGCCCTAAGGGCCCATTCATGTGCAGTTTTTGTGGGTTGACAAGAATTGCATAAAAAGGTTAGCCTATTAGCTTTGAATGGGCCCTTAACGAGCCTCAATGCACAATTAAGAAGGACTGGCAATGCTCTGGGGCAAGCCAGTGCACTGCAACACATACATTTGGTTCCCTTTGTTTATATGGTACCTGTGTTGAGGGGCATTTACAGTGTCAAACCTTTTAAGAATAAAGTTTAATATCCATCATGCATTGAGGGGAATTCATCAAACCTGGAGCAGACAAAATCTGGAGCAGCTGTGCATGGCAACCAATCAGCTTCTCTCTTTCATGTTCAAATCTTAACTGAACAAACTGAAGAGAGAAGCTGATTGGTTGCTATGCACAGCTGCTCCAGATTTTGTCTGCTCCAGCTTTAATAAATTCCCCTAATATTGTTTACAAGAAACCTGTACTAACAAAATAGTTTTTTAAAAATCCATTGCTGGCCTCCTGAAAATACCAACTATCTGGTTGTTGGCTTAATATTTTTACTGAACCAGAAGTATGTTATTAAACTTACCCCTGCAGTGGGGCTTCCCCCGCACTGCAAGGGTTAAGTGATCGTTTTGGTCTGGGGCAAAAATAAGGAAGAGCTACTCACCTGAACTTTGTGTGGTATGTCCCTAGGCGTACTCACATCTAATGCAAGTCAATGGACCTGCATTAGACATGATGACATCAGCACTACTTAAACCACTGGAGCCTGGGGTAGAAGAGGCTGTAGGGACCAGTCTAGCAGCCAGAAGGTCAGGCGAGTATCTTCTTTATTTGAGCCCCTAGATCAAAACTTGGTAGCCCCACTCAAAGGGTTGGTTTTGTAATTTGTAGAGTTCCTCTTTAATGGTGGGTAGAAAAAGAGACCTACAATGAAAACTAACATATCCCTTTACAGAGACTAGTTACCAGTTTATCGTCATTCATCTTATGATGCCATTCTAATAATAAAGGATAAAGTGTATGTGAATCCTAACAATCCACTTATCTTACTTGCTCCCTTTTAGTGTGTTAAAAATATAATTTAAATTTTTATTGAACAGATATACCAAAACACTAAATTTATCAAAACTGGAGCAGACAAACTGGAGCAGCTGTGCATGGCAACCAATCAGCTTCTCTCTTCAGTTTGTTCAGTTAAAGGAGATCTAGGAGGTGAGTAATTTCCACTCATCCTCATAGTTAGAGCCGACCTATGACAAAGAAGCTGTGACAGGTCGGCTCTATCGATCGGGAAGTGAGCAGAAACAGACAGGATCTGCCGACTTCTCGAACATCTCCCTACAGACTGATAGTCACTGCTGCCAGCAGGGATTCCACCCCTCCCCTCTCCTCCAGCGCTGAGTGGAGGAACGGACGGGGGAGAGGGCAGGCAGAGCCAGCTGCCACTCACGCAGCTGGGTGGATCTCGACAGTGATGTCGGGATCCGTCCCGGCTGCAGCGCTCACAGTATATCGCAGGCAATAGCTTGCGATATACTGAGCTTTGGAAAGTCCATGGTCCCATCGCACACCTGACCACAAAATCCCTTCAAGAAGCGGGTGCTGCGGTAGTCGACGGGTGGCAGCTGTTATAATCACAAGCAAAAGCAGAGACACCGGCACTCCAAAGTGATAAGCAAACGTCTAATTTATTGACCTGCAGCATAACAGGTGTTGCTGAGCTTTGGGTTACGGGAGGACGCTTCTATATGTCCTCCCGTGACCCTAAAGAGAACTATGGGGAAAACCACTTACCCCATAGTTCTCTTTTAAGATTTGAAAATGAAAAAGGGAAGCTGATTGGTTGCCATGTACAGCTGTTACAGTGCTTGTCTACTCCAGTTTTGATGAATTCCCCCCTATCTGTTGACTCTGACAGAAATCCAACTCTATTCTGTGCACTCAGCAATGTTATAGGAAGTCTGTTAGAACTACTGAAAACCTCCAAAACACAATTTCTGCCCTCGGACAGGAAGTGTGTTACTGGCAGGATCACCGGATGCAAATAGAATAGAGCATTACAAAGGGATACTAATGCAGCCACCAGGAGTGGTAAGCTAAATAGATTACATTTTTGTTCTTAGGTTTAGATACACCAACATTTAAAATAGAACATAAAATATAACTTATACTAAATACTGTGCAGCTTGTGTTATATTTAAATTTCAGAATGAAATCCAAGCAGTCTCCCTTGACTAACTGAAAGCCAACAGTTAAATGATCCTGCAATTATCTGCAACAAAGACTAGCTACTCAAACCTCCACCAATGTCCTCTTTGATTTTGTTTCTATTCCCAGCACAGCCGAAGCATTTCTATTCTAGAGTAATTCTGAAGCATCTTCTTTTACGTCACAGCTGAACTCTGAGATCAGACATATTGCTACTAGGACTCAAGCTTTCATCTCTACAATTAATTGGGCCATCATCTTTCAAAGACCGTGCTCCTTGCCATGAGGGTCCTTTCAATTTGCAAGCATGAAGCATAACTGTATTATATGGTAATAAACTGTATGTACTGCTTATAGTATCAACTAATGGGACCCCAATTTTAAAATGTATTGGGCTGAAACACAAGCTGAAAACTGATTTTTGAATTTTGCAGCATGAGTCAACAAAATGAAAGCAGTACATAGCTGATATACATATTTTTTTTTAATGCACAGATACACCGGCACTGCATAAGGAAGAACTTTGACATACGGACACAATGGGGTTGATTTTCTAAAGGCAAATAGGTTGTTCACTTTGCAGGGGAAGTTTCCCATTAGTTTAGTGAAGGAGGTGAAGCTTGGCTGACTTCTATCACCCAATCATGTCCAACCAAAAATATTTTTCCTTTTTGTTTCCGTGACTTGTTTTGACCATATTTAGTCAATGACATCAGCCAGCCGGTCTGTGGACATTCAGAAGCTGGCCGGGACCTGTGAGTGGAGGCCAAAGTCTGTCAGAAGATTGATGTATGCCGCTCATCCTTATGTCAGCGGGATGGTCGTTCATTGTGATTGACAATGGATCTACATTGATGGATGACGTGTTTGACAATTCATATAGATTATGAGACAGGAGTAGGGGAGGCTGGGTTCCGCACGCTCGTGGTCACCTCCTTTCTATCCTACCCTGCCAGGCTGAATGCCTAGATAAGGGTCTGATATGGATTTTGAAGGGGAGCCCACATTGTTTTGCATAGGGTTCCCCTCTTAAAATCCATACCAGACCCTCATCAAGCAAAACACAAAAGAAATGTAGTTTAGTGGCCTTTTTGTTTCTTTCTAAAATGTCACTTTTGCTGTACTACATCCTACAGCCCCTTCACATGCAAGTTTAGGGCATTCCTCATGCCCTTTATTAAAAGGAATTTTCTCTTTTCATGTTTTCCCTTTAAGCCTTATTAAAAGATCTTCTGCTAAATGGTATTTTTTTTTTCATTTGTGTTGCATTTGTACATGTCCCCCAGAGCAGTGCCCAGCTCCCCATGCCTCTTGTTTCACAATCCCTTGCTTATTAGTCTTAAAAATCCAGAGAATCGATTATTAAGATTTACCTCCAATTGACTTCAATAAGGTTTGCATTAAAGTTTGTAATTTGTACATTTTTGGACACAAAGCACATTCGCTCATCACTAGTGCGCTTGAATGCGCAGAGAATAATGGCTGCATATGGGCACGCCAACACTGCTGGGAGAAAATGGACTGCATACAGACAAACTGACTGCAAAGAGAACCATAAGAATTTCTGAACCAGTGTAAATTGTATAAAATGTATGAAAACTATCACTGTCACACCGTATGAAACATCTATAATTGGAAATTTAAATTGAAAAAAAAAGAAGGGGTTATAAGAATTACCACCAGCTACCTGAGTCTTTGCACTCTTGTAAATAAAAAAAAATGTTTTCACCCTTTTTAAAAAAAAGTTTGCATTACATTTGTACTTTGTTCAATTTTGTGGCTAAAAGGATATACACTATATTGCCAAATGTATTGGGATGCCTGCCTTTACACGCACGTGAACTTTATTGGCATCCCAGTCTTAGTCCGTAGGGTTCAATATTGAGTTGACCCGACCTTTGCTGCTATAACAGCTTCAACTCTTCTGGGAAGGCGTCCACAAGGTTTAGGAGTGTGTCTATGGGAATGTTTGACCATTCTTCTAGAAGAGCATTTGTGAGGTCAGGTACTGATGTTGGGCGAGAAGGCCGGGCTCGCAGTCTCCGCTCTAATTCATCCCAAAGGTGTTCTATCGGGTTGAGGTCAGGACTCTGTGCAGGCCAGTCAAGTTCCTCCACCCCAAACTCGCTCATCCATGTCTTTATAGACCTTGTTTTGTGGACTGGTGCGCAGTCATGTTGGAACAGGAAGGGGCCATCTCCAAACTGTTCCCACAAAGTTGGGAGCATGAAAGTGTCCAAAATGTCTTGGTATGCTGATGCCTTAAGAGTTCCCCTCACTGGAACTAAGGGGCCAAGCCCAACCCCTGAAAAACAACCCCACGCCATAAATCACCCCTCCACCAAACTTTACACTTGGCACAATGCAGTCAGGCAAGATCCAGTCTCCTGGCAACCAACAAACCCAGACATGTCCATCGGATTGCCAGACAGAGAAGCGTGATTCGTCACTCCAGAGAACACATCTCCAGCTGCTCGGCCATGGAAACCCATTCCATGAAGCTCTCTATGCACTGTTGTAGTGCCAATCTGAAGGCCCGATGAAGTTTGGAGGTCTGTAGCTATTGACTCTGCAGACAGTTGGTGACTTCTGCGCACTGTGTGCTTCAGCATGCGCTGACCCCGCTCTCTCATTTTACATAGCCAACCACTTAGTGGCTGAGTTGCTGCTGTTCCCACTTTGTAATAATACCACGAACAGGTGACCTTGGAATATTTAGTAGCAAGAAAATTTCACGGATGGACTTATTGCACAGGTGGCAACCTATCACGGTACCATTCACTGAGCTCCTGAAAGCGACGCATTCTGTCACAAATGTTTGTAGAAGCGTCTGCATGCCGAGGTGCTTGATTTTATGCACCTGTGGCCATGGAGGTGATTGGAACACCTGAATTCAATGATTTGGAGGGGTGCCCCAATACTTTTGGCAATATAGTGTACATCAGCATAGGAGATGATTGCAAATGCTAAAGCACATGTGCACGCTTATGTTTTACATGGTATATAAATCAATTGCACAATGTGCAATGCAGCTGTGTGTGTACACTGTTTTACACACTATAAAAAGGCAACTTGAAAGTGTTCAGACAGATACACACCTGGTGTTTCTGAAGAATTAGACAATGGAGCAGAGGCTTCTGCTAAAGCTGCCAATGTAGCCAACACAGATGTTGATGAATTGCCAAACTGTACTGTAGATGATATTCCATTCTCATCTGGAAAAAAAGGAAATGCATTCTGTAATAAGGACAAGTTGCAGACATAACCTGAATTCCTTAACTGCAAAGTAATTTCCACTGCAAACTTCTGCAGCAATCCCATTGTAATAACTGTCAAAAAGTTGGAGCATGAACAGGTTAAAAAAATAAAAGACATTTTTGACCATGAACATTAAAAGCTGATTGTACAATCTCCTTTGGATTTATTAGCAAGTATGTAGTGCAAGTGCCAATAGGCAGGTGCTATAAAATGTTACCGGGTACAAATATCTTAGGACCTGTCCCTTAAATGCTTACAAGACACGGTTAGTAAAGAAAAAAACCAAAACAAAACTGAATGATGTATTTGACTCAACATAAAAAGGTAGAAAGCATGTACCTATAAAATTCAGGATTCTAACTGCCTTCTCAAATATACTGTTATGAAAGCTGTGATTCGTAATGATGGTCTTAAAATCATGCAGTTTTCTTACCTGTTAAATTTACCACACCTCCGGGTCCAATGAAAAACTGTGGCGTGGCCGTGTGTATCGTTACAGTGTCTGGGCTTTCAGGATTTGTGTTAATTTGGTTTTGCATTGCAATCTGAAAACACAAAAAAAAGAAAATACCAGCTTGTTAGAAAAGAAAATAGAAAAATTTTCAAATTGATACATTTTCAGCATTGCAGGACATTCTGGGTGCCTCCGTAGCAAAAACAGTGAGCAAGACATAAGTGAAGCTACTTAAAAACACAAAACAACAACGACACACCACACACATTACCTGTAGTATTTCTGCAAGATCCTCATTGCCATTGTCCACAGAGATATCAAATGCCGTTTTACAGAACTTGCTCTGACTATGGACATCTGCTCCATACTTTACGAAAAGCTCTACAACTTCCTGATGGTTGTGTTCTGTTGCCCAGTGAAGAGCCGTCATCTTCAGCATGTCTTTGGCATTGATGTCAGCACCGTGCTACAATACAAAATCTGTTACTATAGAGGACATACTGTGGACTTCATACAAAGGACTTGCTTGCACCTCACATAGCAGTACATGCTAAATAAATTCTGTTCCCAAAAAACTGTAAAACCAGATAATAGCCGTCGTAGAAAAGTATAGCTATAAATTCAAATATACTAGTTTAGCTGTGGCACTGTGCACATAAGCACAACACATTAGTCTTCCTCAGTGATTTCATGTCATTTCCAAGAATTCAAAGTTATTAATCAGCACTTTTAATGCCGAATACAATCTCATTTTACAGAAAATTAAGTAAAGTGAATAACCACTTGAACTGGCAAAAAAAAGCAAGCGCTAAACACTAAATAGTGGGCTGCACGTAGATTTTTAGGATAAAGCCCTCTCCAGTGCCCCATACCCCACAGGACTCCTTATTAAAAAAACAATCAAACAGACTTTCAGTCAATATTTGCATAGGCTCAGACGCATGCGATAAAAAAGCAACATATGGGAGAATCTCACCTTGATTAACACCTCTACTATGTTTGCATGTCCTTCTGAGGCTGCCATATGCAAGGGAGTTCTGTCAACTTTAGTGCGTGCATCTCTACTGACGCCTGCCCTAAGTAATACTTCTGTTGTGGAATAATGGCCATACTGAGCTGCAAGATGGAGTGGTGATGTTCCAAGCTGTAACACAAAAACAAAATAAACTGTGAAGACAAAAAAATAAATAAAGAATGCATTTACAAGCTAAATGTTATCCTTTATTTCTGTTAAAACATGGAAAAGTCCAGCAGGTTTGTCTTAGTACAGCGAGCGTTGGTAATCCAGAACGTTTTGTACCACAATCTGCCAGGTGTCGTGGCACAAAACAGACTGAAAGACATTACTGTTAGGCAACAGATGAGTGTTTCATATGGATGTTCAGTTAAAATTCCACACAGCAGTCTTAAGGGCAGATTAAAGGCGAATATAAAAGGCTGTGTTTTAGTGCACACTTTAAGCACTTCTTTCTCAAAGACCTTTCTGCCGGATTTAACACATGCCATAATATGAATTAAAATGCACTTTAAAATTCAACAGGTTTACAATCTCATGCTGTGAATCCAGCCAAAGAACATGGTAGAATGAAGAAGGGTTTAGTCAAGCGCACTGCTGCAAACTTTGCTAGGTATCTGAACACATTAAGGTTCTGATCTGAAAGGAAAGAAATGAAAACAAATAAAAATGAAGTAGTTACCCAGTCGGTGGTAAAAGGCGCCCCATTTGCCATTAGAATACGAACTTCATCATCTTGACCAGCCCGAGCAGCTTCTAAAAGCTTCTTTCCCAAGTCTACCAAGGACATCTGAACAAAAAATATATATATATATATATATGCATGTTTCTCAAATACATCATGTTGCTTAAAATGGAAATGATTTGTTTTTTTTATATTTTAATAACGGTGATTCTGAAAGGAAGTGCAGTGATAAAAGGGATTTTGAACAGAATTCTTTACCTATCCATCTTGCTTTGTTACAACTGAACTCTTTTGAAAAAATTAAATCAGTGGTCAATTTGGCAAACAAAAAGGGAGCCCTTAACATGTCCAGAGCGCCACACAATAGCAATTTAGACATTTACTATTACTATATCACATTGCAAAACATGCAAGAAAACATAATCCGTGTAAAACATCAATGTAACGTTAACATCAAAATGTGTATTTGTGAAGACAGAACAGTGACATGTACACAATCAAATTCTGAATGACACTGCGTTTGCTTAAAACAAAACTCCATGATTTTTTTCTTTTTCTATTAACCCTTACAGTGGGGTTACCCCGTACCTCAAGGGTTTACTGCTCGTTTGTGTCTAGGTTAAAAAGACAAAAACAAAGAATTACTCACCCAAAGCTCTGAGCCGCCTTGTTCTTAGGCCGGTCTGTGCAATGTCTCTCCCCCTCCTCTGCAGCTGTCTAAGTAGATCATCACGTCTATGCACTGTGCATAGACATGAGGAACATTCCAATGTGCTGCGGGGGAGGGGTAAGGCTGGAGGGAGCGACGTGACAGAACTCAGAACTTTGGGTGAGTATATCTGTTATTTTAGGACCTAGACACAAATGAGCACTTAACCCTTGCAGGGGGTAGCCAAACTGCAAGGGTTAATAGAAATATTCCTGGAATTCTGCAGTTCAAGGTTTACGCAGCAAACATAGATGTAATCCAGAACATACGATATATTTCAGGTGAATTGTCATTTATAATACCTTGTTATACAGGAGTTAGGTACCCAAACAAAACAGCCCAACTGTCATTTAGGGCTTGTTCACACCATGTCCGGACCAGAACAGTTTGTTCCCGGACCAAAAAAGCATCCCAATGTATCCCTATGATATTTCTGGGCTCTGTTCACACCAGCGCAGTCCGTTCCAGACAAAAGAAAAATACTGCTTGTCTCATTTTCTCTCTTCTGGAATGCACTGGTATGCATTAAGAAGTCATACAAACGCATGCCAATGCACTGAACTGCACCTGAAAGCCCATTTTAAGCCAAAAAAACAGCACTGGAACACTGGACGTCGTGATAGACCTGAGGATTACTTAGTTGGATCCATTTTTTAAAATAAAAAGGAATTGCCAAATTTCCTTGGTATTTTTTTCAATGAAAGGACTTTTTTTTTTTTTTGTCTGGTCTCTTTATATTTTATTTAACCTTTTAGTGAATTAGTGAATGCACCTGGGTGTGACAGTGCAAATAATCCCCCCTGCCCGCAGAGCCCCACGACCAAAGGGGACAAGGTGCTTTTCCAAGGGGGACCCAGGCATGTGGCCTGGTATGGCAGGGGAGTGGGGCCGCTCGCTCATCCCCCCCTTTTCTGTCCTGGCAGGCCTGTGCTCGGATCAAGGGTCTAGTCGGGAATTTTAGGGGGGACCCCACTTTTTTTCTCCCCATTATTGGGGGTGGGATTCTTCCTTAAAATTCCTACCAGACCTAAAGGGCTTGGTATGACTTGGGGGCGGGGGGGAAACCCCCCCACTTTTTTTTTTTTAAATGTAGCATTTTCTTAACATTTAAAAATATATTACATTTATTTGACCCCCTCATGACCAGTGTCGTAGCAGGCCCGTGTTTCCTGGTCTCCGGGATCGGACAGGACTAATCTGGGTACCACATAGCCAGTCTGTGGGAGCCAGAATTATTGTTGGTTGGTAGGGGATTAAATACTTATTTTACTCACTGAACTGCAACTCCATTTATAACATTTGTATGATGTGTTTTTCCTGGATTTTTTTGTTGATATTCTGTCTCTATCATGTAAAATACACCTATGATAAGAATTATAGACCTTTCATTTCTTTGTAAGTGGGCAAACTTACAAAATCTGCAGGGGATCAAATCATTATTTTTGACACTGTATAAAAAGGATGATCGCGCTACACATGTTTGGCAACGCCACGCACGTCGGAGTGAGAGAAGTAATTCTAGGGCCAATATTTACACCTATCTCTAAACTGATGACCTGTGGGGGGCTTTTAAAGCATTGCCTATGGACTTTTTGGGGTACTGAATCGCAGTTTCACAGACGCACACAATTTTTACCTGGGCAAGTTGGGTGTCTATTTACTCGCTATAACCTCTTCTTTTATGATTTTTTTTCTTTTTTTTTTAAAAAGGGTATTTTATTGTGTTTTGGGGCATTTACAGTTGTGTGAAAAAGTGTTGGCCCCCTTACTGATTTCTCATTGTTTTACACGTTTGTCACACTTGAATGTTTCAGATCATCAAACAAATTTAAATATTAGTCAACGATAACACAAGTAAAAACACAACATGCAGTTGTTAAAGGAAGGTTTAAAGGGAAAACAAAATCCAAACCCACATGGCCGTGTGAAAAAGTGTTTGCCCCCTAAACCTAATAACTGGTTGGGCCACCCTTAGCAGCAAGAACTGTTACAGCGCTGTGCAGGAATTTTGGTCCACTCACCTTTGCAGAATTGTTGTAATTCAGCCACATTGGAAGGTTTTCGAGCATAAACCACCTTTTTAAGTTCATGCCACAGCATCTCAATAGGATTCAGGTCAGGACTTTGACTAGGCCACTCCAAAGTCTTCATTTTGTTTTTCTTCAGCCATTCAGAGGTGGACTTGCTGGTGTGTTTTGGATCATTGTCCTGCTGCAGAACCCAAGTTCGCTTCAGCTTCAGGTCACCAACAGATGGCCGCACATTATCCTTCAGGATTATTTGGTAGACAGCAGAATTCATGGTTCCATTTATCACAGCAAGTCTTCCACATCCTGAAGCAGCCCCAGACCATCACACTACAACCACCATATTTTACTGTTGGTATGATGTTCTTTTTCTGAAATGCGGTGTTACTCTTACGCCAGATGTAATGGGTGACACACCTTCCAAAAAAGTTCTACGCTTGTCTCGTCAGTCCACAGAGTATTTTCCCAAAAGTCTTGGGGATCATCAAGATGTTTTCTGGCATAAGGGAGACAAGCTTTTATGTTCTTTTTGCTCAGCAGCGGTTTTCGTCTTGGAACTCTGCCATGCAGGCCATTTTTGCCCAGTCTCTTTCTTATGGTGGAGTCATGAACACTGACCTGAACTGAGGCAAGTGAGGCCTGCAGTTCTTTGGATGTTGTTGTGGGGTCTTTTGTGACCTCTTGGATGAGTCGTCGCTGCGCTCTTGGGGTAATTTTGGTTGGCCGCCCACTCCTGGGAAGGTTCACCAATGTTCCATGTTTTCGCCATTTGTGGATAATGGCTCTCACTGTGGTTTGCTGGAGTCCCAAAGCTTTAGAAATGGCTTTATAACCTTTTCCAGACTGATAGATCTCAATTACTTTCTTTCTCATTTGTTCCTGGATTTCTTTGGATCTCTGCATGATGTGTAGCTTTTGAGGATATTTTGGTCTACTTCACTTTGTCAGTGAACTCTTATTTAAGTGATTTCTTGATTGCGAACAGGTGTGGCTAGAGAAATTTAACTCAGGTGTGATAAACCAGACTCATTGCAAGTTATCGCAAACGCTTGATTGCAGTTCTTGCTGCTAAGGGTGGCCCAACCAGTTATTAGGTTTAGGGGCAAACACTTTCTCACACATGGCCATGTGGGAATGGATTTTGTTTTCCCTTAATAATAAAAACCTTCCTTTAAAAACTGCATGTAACAAAATCAGGAAGGGGGCCAACAATTTTTCACTATATTTTGGGGTTTGATATAGAGTTGCGATAATATCGTGCAATATAAAAATTTGCAACTGCCACCATTTTATTCTACAGGGTGTTGGCTTTCAGAAAATATATAATGTTTGGGGGTTTTAAGTAATGTTCAGGCCTAAAATGTGGATTAAAACATGTATACATAAAAATGGGGGGGGGGGCCTTGGTCATGAAGGGGTTAAAAATATTTTCCCTTTTGTTTACATGTTTTTTTTTTATTCTGCTCGCTACCTCGGAGGTACTGAGCAGAATTCTTGAGTCAAATGCCGCTCACCGGCATTCGGCTATTCACTCATTGCCGTTCCGCCCCGGAGGTTTTGATCGACCGAGTCGAACAGCTGACCGAAGCCAGCTAAAGTATGGCTCGAATCAGCCGTACAAAGCCGCAGTGAATAGCCGAATGCTGTTCGGCTCCGTTATTCACTTGGCTGCCTTAATGAATAACCCCCTTAGTGTTCCTAAGTGTTCACAGGGAACTGCTCATTGACAGCTGGAGCTGGCAGGATGCCTCTCTCGCAGTGCGATAGTGAATAAAACCAAATTGAATCTAGTGTCTATTTTTGAATGGGTAATGGACTCATTATATGCTCAGGTACAAGGACCCAGGATCTCAGAAGAGAGGCTCACTAAAAACATACCAGAGACAAGGAGATGTGTAACAAGATGCTATGTACTCCTCTGTACAGCAGCATCACTGTGTTAACAATTAATTTTCCTGGTTTTATTTTCCTGGGTGCAGAGTGTTGGTCTAAAAGGGATTGAATCTGAAGAGGAACATGTGCTTTCCTGTTTCATACATTCCCAGCGGAGGATTCAACAATCTCTTTTTATAACACACAGAGGGAAGGAATGAAACTCACCGGTCCTGTAAGCGGCTGGTCAGGGCTCTGAATCATCATGTGCTGTAAGCAGCTGGTCAGATCTGCACTCTGCTCTATGCACTGAAAATTCCCAGTGAGAATAGGAAGTGTCAACTGTTTCAACTTTAGATAGATATATGAATATAGGGTAGGAAGGAAGGATATACTCACATTTTATTGTTTACAAATAAATATTTAGTGTATGACAAAAGGGATTTCAAGAGCACTTCCCTTCCAGGCTGGCCCTGGCACTGCCAAGACTCTCTTGT